ATCTGAATTGAACAGTGGGCAATTCTGGTTCTTCATCACTACTAGCACTGCTACAAATACACACTATAATAAGCACAATTTGGCCAAAATAAGTACTCACAGTAGACTAACTGAAGGAGAAGCATCTTCGACAAATTCAGGCCTAAAATTACATGAAATAAGAAAAATGATCATCAGTAACACTAACTTTCCTGCACAATTCTCAATATGAATCAGAAGTTCCTCATAACCAAATTCTCTGTTGCACTTCACACATGTCTCCTTTAACTATAAAAATAACTAGGTGACGTATTCCTTCACAATAAACATACTTCTGCAGCCACATCCCTTGTTGGAGTGGTGTCTAAGTTGATCTGAAGTGGTAAAATGTATGTCTTGGCATTTCCCACTCTCTCCCTCAGTATTGCGGGTGATGAAATTGTAGATACTGATAATGCATCCAATACCCTGGAATTAGGGAGGCATTTAAAAAATCTGTACCCTCCTCCGTCCCTCAATCGTGGATAACTGTTCAAAATAGCTTCACGGAACTCACTGCTGTCCATATTCATATCCAATGTAATATCTTTATCTCCCAGATTTGCTCTAAAGAGTGTTTCTTTCTCAGAATCAGTGGTCGGTATTAATTTTTGTCTTGATTCCGTAACGCAAGACACATAAACTTATGTGTCCATAAACCACCACCTTTGCTTCTCTTTGTAGAGCTGTACAGTCGGGTAACCTCTTCTTTCGCTGACCTCTTACCCTTTCCTTTCCATTGTCTATCAATAGCTAGGAGACACCTACTCGCAGCTGATAGCACGGGATCTATTATGGGATTTAGTATAAGAAATTTCCTAATAACTGTTATCACTGATGCATGGGCCATGCATGCATACTATGAGCTGGCTTTTTATTATAATTATTTTTTACACAAAATTAATAAAAATTACATTTTAAATTTTTGTTTACAAGACATAAGTATTTGCTTTAAAAAATTCAATACTACGCAAATCATCTTACTAGCTTCGTCAGTGGGAGCGGTTGTAGAAGGACGAGAAGGTCCTGCTGCTCCTGTACTGTTATTCGTCGGCATTGTTGCGGAGGTATTTACATTTGGGCTGAGACTGGCTAAAAGTTGAATAGCCTCCTGAGCCTTTCTCACTTGTTCCGCATTCATACGGGGGATGACGAAGGTGTAAATGAAAAGGTGTAATTTAATGGAGAAAGACAACAACTAGATACAATCTTTTCCTCGATCTTTTCTTTCATTTGACTTCTCACCTCCGTGTAACGTGTCTCCCGCGCATGCGTACTTGACTGAACCGCGCTATTGAAATGCCCACTTGAATGATGTATTTTGCATCAAAAATTTTAAAGCTGTTTTGTCTCGACTTATAACCCCTATGACTACAATAATCCTAATCACTAGACTTGAAGACATGAAAAAATTGAAATTGATGAATAATTTTATGCAATTATGACTTTTGGCATTCACACTTTTAGAAAATCATGCAATAAATTTATATGAACACTGAGCAATGGCTTAAATGAGTGAGAAAAGTGCAGGTGAAAAGTGAAGAATAATAGAGATACTGAGGTAAAAGTGCAAAATTTAATACCCTCTCAGGGCGTAGCTATAGAACTCATGGTTTCTGCATCAAAATTTACCAATATTTTTGCCATAAATCCAGCATCCTGTAAAGCTAACAGATAACGTTTAAGCAAAAGTGAAACTTCATTGCAAGTGGAATTAAAATTTGTCAATTTTTCTTGACTTTAGGCCGTCAAGGCTAACTAAACTTACTTGGCTCAAAGGCCCAAAATGGGTGAATTAGACAAACTTTATGTTCACTTGCAACTTACTTTCATTTTTGCTTATTACCTGC